GAAACGCAGTTGCGTCGCTTCTAGGCTATTCCCCGACAAGTTAAAATAAGCGAAGAGTGGAAAGATTCGAGAAGATTTTCGTTGAACAGGCCAGCCGAGCAGCAAGCGTGCCCCTCCCCTCCCCTCACGGACCGTTTTCATTCCAAGAAAGCTACAAATACGCCGTTGGCGTGGCGTCAGCTCCATAGCGATAGACATCTACAAGAGTTTTACACACTTCAGACACACACTGTCGAGTCAACTTTGGTCAAGAAAACGATGCCGCAACGTAGTTCTGCTAAGACGTGCCCTTCCCTGGCTTGATAACCCCGCAGCCTAGGGCGCCTGGCAGGTCGGCTCAAGACAAAACCGGGGAAAAACGTAAATTTTGCCAAAATCCAGCAGGGCGCCTGCTAGGTCGGCAACCGAACTGCACTTAGTGTAGCCTGGTTGCTTAGGTCATCTTGGTCGGATGCAGGCGACGTCGTGGTGCTCGACGCTGCCGAGTTGAAATATTGAAATTCCACTGGCAGGAACAGATTCTTGACGTAGTTTTACGTGAAGACCAGTGGTCGATTGCTGCCCCGGACAGTCCTAGCTCCAGAAAATGCAAATTTTCGACATTTTAGCCAAAACACTCAAAATAAAACCTTCAAAAACTTCGGGGATGGAGCCAACAAGTGCGGAGAGGGTCGATGTGAATCGTAAAAATGTATGCTGAATTGTCACCAAAATGACCATTTTTGCTGTTTTCTGCCCCTGGAGACCCCGGGGGCAGCGTAAGACGGTTCCCATGGCCAACACACGTTACTTTGGTCCTTTCCCTGCAGTTTGGCGGTGAGAGAAAAAAAAAAGTACGTTGAAGAACACAGAAACCCCAAGATTTGGGCATTTCTCTGCAAATGGTGTCTTTTACCTAATATCGACCCCTAAACTTCACCTGGCCGTAAAACCGATAGCTGATTTGGATTTCCCAGCTCATTTTACTTCGGAAACCACTTTGCTTTCGGCCAGAACTTGCCTGGGGCGAGATTTAATGAGATTTTTCGTTTTAACACGAAAACAAGCAAAAAGTGTTAGGCGAAACTTGCGCCTCTTGCCGTTTTACGTAGGGATGTCCGATCGGGTTCAAACTTGGATATGTTGTCTAGGGGTATAATACGAACCTCAGAAGAAAAATTCAGATTTTTTGCGAAGGGTCGATGTTGCCCCGCGTTTTTCTTAAAAAAAAGCTGCTCTCAGCAAAACTACGGAGCTGCGCGGTGGCGCCGTGCAGCCTAGCTTTAGTCGCAAACCGCCCGTCCTGCGTGGCGGTAACCAAGCGGACTCAGAGCACCTTAACCACTGAACCACCTGTGTGAACCTCCTGTGAGTATAAGTGAAGAGTGAAATATAGTGCATCAGCCCTACTCGGACCGGAGGATTAATGAGGTATTTACCGAATTAGAAGAACAAGAGGAATATCGTCTGCTCCCGGACCATCACAAAGCCTCGACCAATCAGAGAGAGCCTCTCTCGGCCTCTCTCGTGGCC